CCCCAAAACCCCAAAACCCCAAAACCCCAAAACCCCAAAACCCCAAAACCCCACTATATTTCAGCTTTGTTGATAGTTTTACTGGAAATATACCTCCTATTTTTCCTCCCCTAAGTCGCTCTTATATTAACATACACTTTAGACCTTTTTCTTTGAGGTAATCTTCAAACTTCCTTTTTTGAACCTTGGTCCAGGGCAAACAGATCACTTCTAAACTATCTTTGAGCCTATACAATAACCCAGTCTTCTTACTGTGTCTGAATGAACTCTCTTAAGACCCACATGCATGCAGAATAGAGAGGCTCAAGGATCCTTGCTTTCTCTCCAAGCCAGAATTCACAGCTCTTCATCCCAAATTCCTTTATCTGGTATGTTTTCTCTTTAGAAAGAGTAAAATCTTCTGAGACAAGCACTTTACAGGAGCTGAGAAGAACTCTCTCAGTGAATCTCAGTCTGCTGAACAGGGCTTCAAACTTTTCGTTACCTATATGTCAGATTTATTAAGCTACTTATTTTAAAGTTATGGAACAAAGCTTCTTTCACTCAGTTCTTTGGTATGTACTCAATTTTGAACTTTGATAGATTCTTTGTGGAAATTATATATCTAGAAGCTATAAAACTTTTGACTAACTCTTGAGCCCTAGCCTTCAGAAGGTTTTCATGTAAGTAATCTTCGTACATACTCACAGATCTCAAATTCAGGTGCTTCAAAGGTGGAAATTTGAGATTCTTGGATTCTTTCAGAAATACTTGAAGAGATTTGGTGCACTGTTTTACATCGATTTGAGTACAGTCTGCATTTACAGCTTCCACATTAAATGCCTTTGCAAGAATCATGATCTTTTGCTTATCACAAGAGAACATAGACTTAAGTTAAACTATCAAGATACCTTAAAAGCATTGGAGTTGGCTTCCCAGACCTTTTTAGACTCTTTTGAAAATAAGAGCATGAAAATTTTGCAGTATTCAAACTCCCCAATAAAGGGGAGGATCTCACATCAGATACCAAATTTGTGGAACAGGTCAAACTTGTAAACCTATATACTGAGATTGTAAGGTACTTTCTCCATACTTAGAATATTAATGCTTAATACTCTCTGAAAATTTTAGATATAAGGGGTTTTGGGGTTTTGGGGTTTTGGGG